ACCAATGAATATCTCTTCCCCAACCACGGTTGGATTTTATGCGATAACATGGCTATTAATATGAATCCTGCAGCATTAGCCATCCATATCAATGACACAATCGAATAAGTAATTCCGTAATATTCTTCTATAAATGGTAAAGTGGCACCAGGTGTAGCGTCTGACCAACCCGAAATCCCTGCCCAGCAACATGTTATAATAGCTCGATACAAATTTCCAGGTGGATTCCTAGATGTCATTACTTGCTTGCCCATATTGACTTGTTGTGGCAATGGTTCTAACGAAGGATCCTTGTTATGGGTCAATTGGGTTAATACATTGTTAGTGGACCCCATGGGAGTTATTATAGGACGGAAAGGGTTTAATCCATCATTTACAACTTCGATAGAGTTCCTAGCTATGTTATCATTATGAATCTGGGGTACAGTAAAGTCAGAATCATTTCTGTTAAGCACTGCGACCCGTGCTTCATCCAAGTGCTTGATCTCTGACATACTGAATTAATCCATTCTTTACTCTGCTATAGAGCAAAAATAATTTTAGGAACAGTGAGTCATTTATATAGGGATCTCATTATAGAATATTGAATAATACTCGGAATGATGTCCGAAATGAGATGCATTGAAATTTTACAATAGATTTCGCATCCTAATCAAAATTACTCTAATTTATTTTACCAAGATTGGTGATATTTTAGAAATAACACGTCAAGTGGTTATCTACAATGTATGTACATTTAAATAGATTATGGAGATTTTTGGATGCTTGGAAAAGAGTAATAACCATATTAAGTATTCCTTTGATTGGTAACCCGACCTAACATATGAAGGTGTTAACATTCTCTGGGGAACTGGGAATTGTAAGGTCTTTTGATGGGACCAAAATCACGATATCTCCACTTAGCACATTCTTTACTTCATCAAAAAGCACCTGAGTCATTTTTGTGTTCTCTAGTATTGATATCAACTTCATATATTACTAATATACGCTTTAAAAATGTGGGGCCACTATGACCAGTATGTTTTCATGAAAATCAGCTACCATGTTTCAGACAGAATTAACATATGTAAATAGATCTTATGATTGACATGCTACTGTTAGAAAGATAATTGAAGTAAAAGGACTAAATAACTAAGATACTGAACTCTCAGCCTATTATGGGGTTAATAGATTATTATTTGAAGATGATATGAAGAAAACTTCTGTTGTTGTTTGTACAAATACACTAGCTTATGTCACCAGTGTATTGGATTTACCTACACTGCATGTCTAAGCACCTTTCGATTAGTTGTATTTAGTAATAGGTTCTAATCTATATACCCTTATTTCCACACTAACATGCAAAAAATAGTCACTATTAACTAAATTCGCGTTTTCAGGTTCAGTATTCTCAAATTCATTTCTTCTCACTATTCCATATTTTTGCGGAGTGGTAAAGCGATGTTGATTTTTTTGATATCTAAATGAGTAGGGAAATATTAAGGTGTGGAATAAGTTACAGAAGAGGAATTCATAGATTATTGATACATATATATATATGAGGTATGTAATAGGTTTATATCATATGGATCAGGCGTTGTATTTAAATATAGTATAGAGTGAGAGTAGTCGAATTGGATGGGTGTTAAAATATTATTATAAGAATTGATGTTTGGGAAATTATACTATTGTGTCAAAAATTAAGAAATAAATGGGGTTGAGGTTAATAAGAATTGAAGGTAGATTTTTTTATATTGCTATGTTTCATTTAGATTGAATACATAGTTAACTCCGATCTTACCTAAAATATCCGTGCGCATTAGAATATCGAAAATTGACTTTTGAAAGATTCGGTACTTCACCCCGGTGATTTAAAAATTGGTAGTGGGATTAAAAACAAGTTACCCCGCAACTTGTATATCTTAGAAAGTTATTGATCCACGATCTCAGGTTAGAAATAGAAAAGGTTGTTAAATGTTGAGAAAACAGACAAAACGACCTAGAGTTATACCATCCAATGAAAGAAAGTATTCATCAAAAGCTTGCAATAACTGTAGAAAAAAAAAATATAAAGTACGTTTTTTTTAAGGTTTTTGATCCAAAAACTCAAACACTACTAACCGACCAACAAAGTGTAATGGAGGTAAACCCTGTATAACATGTTCACGTAAAGGTTTAGATTGTATTTACCGTATGATTGATGGTAGGTCATTAAAGGGTAAAAAAATATCATATAATAACGTCCAAATTGAGCTGTCTACTAAACAAGCATCTAACGATATTACTAATTCTACTCAAAGAGAAGATATAAACTATTCGCATATCACACTGCATGATTTGAATAAATCTAAAATTCCTGCAAATTTACAGCCATTATTGACTTTTTCTAGTTCTGTCGAACAAAATAGCTCGCAAAGCCTCAATGAAGACGACCCAAAGGGATCAAACATGACTGATATAGAAGGTTTGTCTCACCAAAATGATAAACATAGTAGACTTCTCCTTAATTCGGCGGGTAATTTAAGGTATTTCGGTGAAAGCAGCCCACTGTCGTTGCTACAAGAATGTCGCTTTATATTTGCGAAGGTGATTGGTATTTCCATGTTCACAGATGACCCTTTGAAAGAGCACGTTCTCGATGAACCCAACGAACTAACAATGAAAATTCCTGTTCAGCTACCTAAGCGACAGCTGTGTAATGTTTTAGTGGACTTTTTTAAAAAGAACATCAATGATACTTTTCATGTTTTTGATATGAAATACTTTAAGGAAAGCATTATCGAGAGGATATATGATAATCCAGTATGTGCGAAACAGTCTTGGATGTGCTTATTTTATTTAGTTCTTGCCATTGGTGCTCTTTTCGCCGAATTAACACCTTCATATCAAGTCCAGGACCTTAAAGTAGTTAGCTCCGCGGAGTTTTTTCATAGCTCTATAAGTTTTATGAGAAGTTTAAAGTATGATGTGAGCTTATGGATGGTTGAAGCAAATTTCTTACGATATTTCTATTACCAATCTACTTGTCAGCGAAGTTCCTCTTGGGTGCATTTGGGGCTTTCCATAAGATTAGCACAGGCTTTAGGCTTACACAGAAAGATTATAAATGAAAAATTCAATGATCCGCTTTATGTTACGCATAGAAGGAGATTATGGAGAAGTTTATTTATATGTGATAGGATTTCGTCTATTTCTCTCGGAAGGCCCTTAGGTGCTAATGATTATGACTGGGATGACCAAGGTATAAATTTTATTGCTGATCCTAAGGAAAATTTTAGACTGAAATGCCAAGTGGAAATATCCAAGGTTGCACAAATTAATGGTCGAATTGTTGAAAATATTTACCGAGATGGTAAAGTTAACATGAAGCGTGCAAATGAGTTAGCAATAGAACTTAAATCATGGTCTTTGAATTTACCGCAAGAAATAGATCTAGATAGTACATTGGAGAAATTCAAATCAGAGGATAATGAGGATAATAATCTATTGATGAATGTTCACATGTCTCAATTTTATGGTATTATGTTGCTATGTAGACCGTTTTTTATGTATGTAATGGTGAAGAAGTTAAACTCAGAGACAAGCAGTGAATTTAAACACGGTTCATCGCTTCTTAATTTTAGCAAAGGATGCATAAAATCATCATTTTTGACAATTAAGTTAATCAATTACTATACGAAGAATACGACTAACATTTTGGAAACCTGCGCAGCTATCAATGGCTGTTTGTTTGCATCTGCAATTTTGGGATTAACATTGTTGGAACAGATAAAACGGCGCCAACCCGACAAAGAATATATAAATGTTCTATTTGATACATTGCATATTTCTAGAAAGATGTTATATCTCTATGGCATGTTCAATGCACTTTCTGAAAGATGGGGAAATAAAATCGACGGCATGCTCGCAGCCCTATTGGAGATACAAAATTCAGTCATGGAAACTTCAGAAACTATATCGGATTCGGATCAAACTGATTTGGGAGCATTTTATAAAGAAATCATTTCATTAGACAATGAGGAGATTAGTTCGAATAATTTAAGTAATTTTCAGCAAAATTTTGTTCCCTCAAATACTGACATGCGTTCTGATACTTTCATGTATAGCGGAGATGTGGCAGCATTGAGAAATAATACTCAGTCATTAGATGTCTTTATGTATGATTTTGGTAAAATCAATGCTTCAAATAATGCTGCGCAAATTTGATCACAGCTGGCTTATTCTTAATATGTGCTTGTTTTACTTCCTTCACACAAGTCCTTGTGTACAATTAAAGAATAAATGTTTCTCCTAATAGGGTATATTATTTTATCTAAGAGCTAACAAATATGTTTGAATTTGCCAAGGGACATATTCTTACAAGTATTAATCTTTTTGGCTGCTTGAATTGTAGGAGATGAAGACTTATGGCTTTCTTTTAAAACAGTAGAATGGCTTACGTAAAATATATGGTTTCTGTCATCATTAGAGCTGATATCGAAAGTAAAAAAATTTTGATCCGTTAATGTCAAAGAGAGTTAATTCAGAGTATTTCATCACACATGCTAGAGATATATTTTACCGCAGAACTGAGAACATCTTTAATAATCCTTTCATGAGTAAATTATGCATCATTGAATACTTTCGATTGAGTTCTTTCTCTTTTATAGTTCAAAAGCTTCCATAGTTCATAAATATTTTACAAATATTTCACTTGTATTTCATTACTAGTTTTAAATTAGATTTATTCTCTATTAGCATCTGTTTATAATTTCCTACTCCAGCTAACTAAATTAAAACAAGAACTAGATCACAGAAAATACAAAATGATGGTCAATTCTTTCACTTTGGATCATTTTGTTACCTTCAAAAACCCCAGGAGGATTCAAGTGTGTCTAAAAGAAGGAGACTGATGCAATGAACTATTGTTATCTGAATCAATGAATTATAAAACATTGATTGTTGGTTTCACATCCGTAATCTTCTATAAAAAATACCTTTCTAACATTTCGGTAATATTTATTCCTCAAGTAAATAAGATATTCAAAACTCTTGTATATTGCTTGTTGATTATTTGAAATATTCTTTGTTAAACCTATCTATAAATAAAGTGTTTATTTTTCAAAATTTTGGTTGATAATGTCTGTCATTCTCAAAAAATTATTATTTTGCTCAATTATAGTTTCTTCTGAGATATAGGTTTTGGATATCTGTTTGAGAAAATTAGAGTGATATAAGTTCATCTTTCGAAGTTAGTAAAATATGATGCGTTCCAATATACCTAGAATTATAGCGAGTGCAGAAAAATGCACTGCTGCTTATGTAAGTAGGGTAACATTATCTTGCGGCCGCATCTACATCGCTTTTAATAGATTTGTATATAGGCATATATTCATAAAATATTATAAATTCATACTGAACACAAGTATGCTTCATATAAAGAAGAGACCGCCATTTAAATACGCGACAGCTTATCAGATGGGTCACTGCGGTTTGTAGGTTTTGTGATTTCAAATCCCCTTCCTCTCAAATTTTTGGGCCAAATTCCGCTTTTTCCGGGAGCCAAAATTCCATTAGGATCCAACGCATCCTTCAACTGCTCATAAAGTTTAAGAAGGGATCCATTATTCCAATTGAATGTCTGCATTACACGGTCCTGGAAGGCTACATGAGTCCTATATTCACCGAATCCTTCCTTAGCACAATCAGTAATGAGAACGTCTAATAACTCATGGGCATTCCGTTTGTGCTCTTGGTCAAATTTATCGTAGACTATTTGTACAATAACATGAATTTCTCTAGGACAAACAAGAAAGTTTACACACAAATCAATACCAAACTCATCATGACGACGCTTACAAATATCCATTAATCTGGAACTATGCTCAAGAGTGATAGGGCAAATTGGGGTGAAGAATAAATGAGAACCATTTGGCATCCAGTTTACCCAATCAAGTTCTTTTATATGGGGAATTCCAGAATTGATTAATGCACGGGATTGACAATAATGGTCTTCTGGCAATTCGTGAGCCGCAAAATATTGAGCACCCTTAATTTTTAAAAATTCTTCCTTAATCTTCTTGATTTGAACCTCTTGAACTTCTGGTGGTCCATACACAGTTCCATAAAAGTACCAAGCGTTAGCACCTGTAGGAGTGTCTTTCAATAATTTCGCAATTTCGTGATCAGGCATCACACCCTTTCCTTTCCAATAATGGTCTCTTGGCTTCCCAATGGCAGCAACTTCTTCCATGGCATTGTGCATATGAGGAACATTCTGAATAAGACCCTGCATTCTCAATTTTTGAATAGAAGCTGAGATCTGTCCGATATCTTCATATTTTGGTACTGTGACTAAATATGTTAAGTCTCCACCAGGATCTGGCATGAGCCATAAGCCCATTCTGGTCACTATACCATAATTGGACTGAGAAAACAACCCATCAATGAAAGGGCCGAAACCATATGGGAAAAGATTCCAGGTAGTTGATTCTGGAAGTGCTCCCATACCAGTTCTTATTACTTCTCCTGTTGGTAAAACCACCTCCATACCGCAGTGCATTCCATAATGGTCACCATATGGAGTGTATCCAAGGCCACGATCCAAGGCATTTCCCATAACGCTTCCACCTCCAATATCGGTAGTATCGATCAAGAAAGGAGCACCAGATTTTTTAACAAAATCATATAAGGCATAATATGTCACACCTGGCTCTACCATAAGTGTTCCATTTTTAGCATCAAAATCTAGAATTTTATTCATTCTGTTTCCAAGGTCTAAAACAACACTTCCACGGACACGTGGGGCACTACCACCATATCCAAAATTACGTCCAAGTGAAATAGGGTGCAATGGAATTTTATGCTTATTAGCCCACTTGACAATTACTTCCACCTCTTCAGTCAGAGATGGACGGAAAACAGCAGAAGCAACCAAATCATCTTGATCCAAAATGTGAAATGCATCATGCCCGATTGGATGTTCCAAATACCAACCGTCATCCAATACCTTTTCATCTAAAATTGAAATATTCTCCTTCCCAAGTAGAATTGAAATTTCCTCGATTGCTTTATTAAACTCACTTCTAGTAATATCAGGGGGGAGGACAGGTAATTCACGATCTTTTCTGTTTGGTAATGTTTCACCTTTTTTATTGGCATAAATTATTGCTTTTGCATTGTTAGCATCATCTTCGAACCTCTCAATGATACCATCATGACAATTTTGAGATAAAAGGGGAGCTTTTGTATTTTGGGAGACTTTAGGCATTTTTTTTAATATTGATATTGATATTGATATCTAATTGAAAGGAATTGAAGTATTCGTCTTGCTCGTCGTCTTTTATAGTACAGCTATAATTGGGGAAGTTCCATCTCTAGGCAGTAAATACTAATATTTCCAAGCCTATAGCATTGAACATTTTGATGAATAATAGGTGGAGTAACTCTTGTATTTCACAATTCCATGGTAGGGGTAATTTATAGGCAGTGTTACTTATTTGATGTATTTTAATTTCCGTACGACTAGAGTTATATAGTATAGTTGTTAACAAAATTATCCTTTTAGTACAATACTTTACTCTTTTTATTCATACTCGTTCCAGCAAAGCATTCCCGTAACTTATATAGAAAGAAGCATCATTCAGAATCATTATATCTTATTTAGAAGAATAAGATTATTTTTGATACTTTGGCAATATCGGAACTATAATAAAAAATTACTCTTTTCGTGATATTATTGCGAACTCGCGCAGAAATGTGCTCAAAAAATATGCCCGTCAAACAGAATAATTTTCGACAATAAAACCTTAAACGGTACTTTGGAACAGGAACTGTGAAAAGTTAAATTTGCAACAATGCGAATTTCGATTCATAATTTGGAATATGCATCTATAGATTTATTTGGACATCCTTCAAAATATATAAGATTGGTATTGGTATTGATGAGAGTGTAAAATGATTGACTGATAGTGCTATTACATGGGGTGATTTCTCACTAGTGGAGTGGTTAACATGAGCAATGTGACAAAAAAAAACAGCTAGGGATACTTGTTTCTTAGACAAGAATAATAATATGTACCCCGCTATCGCTTGTAGGCTATTTTCTTCCGTAACTATTTATTGTAAGCGTGAAAACTTGTAATTGTAATCGCGGGTATTGAAATCTAGTTCCGAAGGTGTTTCTGGCATTATGAAACATAGTTCCAATGGTTTAGAAACTGGAATTACTCATCACTCTCAATTAAAGTATTCGTTTGTCTAAAACTTACTATTTTATAAGTCTATTTGCTTTCTTCAAACCAAAATAAGTAAAGTATCTGAATTTTTAGAGCTTTATTATGTGTATGTCTTGAAGTATGAGGCAGTCTGTATAGAATAGCAATACAAACATATATACTAAGAGAGTGAGATGAATCAATGTTTATTGTTTAGGAATTGAAAGATTCCGAGTTCCCCACATTGAGAGGAGTCTCACATAGTTCAAAATTATAAAAGCTCAATATTATCAGAAGCTTTTAGTATTAACTGTAATTTAAAGAACAATATGAACAGATCTACTGTCCCTTTATTGATCAATGGTATTGAAGAAATCAATTCGGAAGACCTTATATATGAAGTTGAAAGTCCATTCGAAGGTAGCAAGTATTTATATAAAGCCCAAGGAGTATCAACTGAGGAAATTAAGAGCATAACGGAGAATTCTTTTAAGGCTTTTAAAATCTGGAAAGCCACTTCATTCGATGAGAAAAGAAAAGTTCTAGAGAAAGTTGCTTCATTATTGGAAAATAGAAGAGGGTATTTTATAGATATTCTTAAAGAAATGGGCTTAACTCTCTCGTTTGCCAATTTTAATGTTGAAACTAGTATAGGCATCTTAAAAGAATGCGCAGCTAGTGTTTCAAAGCCTTTGGGAGCAATTCCTCGGACAAGTCATGAACAAACTTATACCATGATAATAAATGAGCCCGTAGGTCCCATTTTAAGTATTGCACCCTGGAATGCACCCATAATTTTATGTCTCCGTGCAATTGCTGGACCGGTGGCTGCAGGTTGCAGTGTCATCTTAAAAACTTCCGAGCAATCCCCACTAGTCCATTTCGAATTGTCTAAATTATTTATTGATGCAGGCGCACCGCCAGGTTTGGTTAATTCAATCAATCATAGCCAAAGAGATGCTTCAGAAGTAACAACAGCGCTTATTAACTCACCCAATATAAGAAAAATTACCTTTACTGGATCTTCACAAGTGGGCAAGATTATATCTACTATGGCGGCTAAGGCTTTGAAACCTGTACTTTTAGAGCTAGGAGGAAAATCGGCTGCTATTGTAACAAAGTCAGCAGATATAGAGCGAGCAGCAGAGGAAATACTTACTGGCGCTTTTGCTCATAATGGTCAAATATGCATGAGTACTGAAAGAGTGTATGTTGTCAATGAAATATACGACAAATTCATGGGTGCAATTTCAAAACGTTTCGATGATTTCACTTCTACGCAAAAGAAATTACCTCAAAGATCTTTAAATCAAGCTAAAAAAATTGAATCATTGTTAAGAAATGCTATCGACAATGATACAAAAATATTATGTGGTAGAATTTTTAGACATGATGCGTACATCGAGCCTATAATAATTGGAGACGTTTCAGAAGAAGTAGACATTTATGACAATGAAACTTTTGGACCTGTGTTTTACATAAATAAGGTTTCTGATGTGTCTGACGCAATCAAAAAGGTTAATTCAAGTAGATATGGTCTTTCTAGTGCTATTTGGTGTAGTGATGTACTCCAGGGTCTAGAGATTGCTCGTGATATTGAGTCGGGAGCCGTCCATATAAATGGTAAAACTGTCCATGATGAATCTACCTTGCCTCATGGAGGAGTTAAAGAGAGTGGTTTTGGGCGGTTCAATAGTTCATGGGGATTACAAGAATTTCAATACACAAAGGTAATCACTTTAGCTAAATAACCTAGACAAAGATACATTACCAATTCATGTTTTACGGATAGTAACTGAAGTAATATATATTTCTAAAATACAAATTTTACAAAAGCCAAACCCTGTAGAATTTTTTAAAAGTTCATCAAGTTCTCTCTGCTTTCCTCCACTTCCGTAGTCGTCTTCAAAAAAATAGACTTTTTGATATCTGATTTTTATGGAAGGTTGGTAGTGAATTCAACTTAAGTCCTAGTAGAGTAACCGTTGTCTGGAGAACTATTAGAGTCGTTATACTCGAATAATTTCACAGTACTCCACTTGTAACTTTTTTAAAATTAGATAGATCTATCAAACTGATCGATTGGAATGCATCTCGGAATTACGGAACTGTGCACTTCAAAATAGACCCCGCATCCTACCCCATGCAATAAACCTCACTTTTTATGCAGCCTGAATGCAGTACATATTTATTTCATCTATAAAACTGCTAACATTAGCTTGATATGATATTTTAAATTATCAATTGGAACAAGAGAAATTATGAGAAAAGTTGCAATAATTACAGGAGGAGCTCAGGGAATTGGCCGTGCTATTAGCTTAAGATTAGCTAAAGATGGCTTCAACATTTGCATCTGTGACTTGGAATCTCAAAAGAAAAAGGCTGATGAGATTAGAAAGGAAGTGGAAAACTATAACCGCAAAGCATTATTTTTTCCTACAGATGTTACAAAGAAGCAGCAATTTGAAAATGCTATTGATAAAGCTCACAAAGAATTAGGAAGTTTTGACGTATTAGTGAACAATGCTGGTATTTGCATTGCTGATCCTATTTCAAACATAACTGAGGATGATTTGGAAAAACATTGGGCTGTCAATGTGAAAGGAACCCTTTTTGGGATGCAAGCATCGGCCAAAAAATTCAATGAATTGGGCAAAAATAAGGGAAAAATTATTAATGCTGCATCGGTAGCTTCTCAAGTGGGCATACCTACTATGGGGGCATATTGCTCTACGAAATTTGCTGTCAGAGGTTTAACGCAGACAGCAGCTCAGGAGTTTGCCCCTCTTGGGATAAATGTTAATTCTTATTGTCCTGGACCAGTAGGTACGGCTTTGTTTGAAGGGATCATTAATAAAACTGTAGAATTAGGTATAGCTAATCGGGAAGAAAGTACCAAAATGCACATGGGTTCACTGGCCATGAAGCGCACAGCTATGCCTGGAGATATTGTTGGCTTAGTATCATTCCTTGCTAGTGAAGATAGTGACTTCATTACAGGACAATCTATCATAGTTGATGGCGGGCAGATATATAGGTAAATAGTTTAGTATCGTTTATTGTTTATCTTAACCCCTACAACTACCTGCAAACTATCCAACCCATACAATCTATATGCATCTGATTAAATTTCTAAGTCTCTTTATATTAGAAAGCGAAAAGCATTCACCCCGGATATTACTCAAAAGCTGTTTCTGTGTAGAAAAACGAAAAACTTCCAAAAAATCGCATCTAATGGTTCTCAAGAAATTGGATGTTTCTTGACTATACGTGCACTTGGATGGTGGTACTCTGACATTATGGCAACTTTTAAATCAAGATAAATGATCATATAATCTGACTGTTAGTTCTTCGCGTGTGCAAATCATCAGCATTCAGATTTATCATAATAGAGATTATCCGTCGCCTAGAACACAATATTCTTCATAGTAATTAATGTTTGACAGTTTTTCCTAAATCTCTATAATAAACTGTATGGCTTCCTTTCTGTAAAAATAATAATCTATAAAATTCTTGCAGCAAGATTGTAGAAGGTTGATGAACCCTACACAAAATGGCTTGTCCAAATCTGCGAATTTACATATCAATTTACAGATAGACCAAGCAGTTTGTGAATCCAAACCCGACGTGGGCTCATCAAGAAATACTAATAGCTTAAATTTCGCAACCAACTCAACTCTAATTGATAATCTCTTAGGTTTAAAACAAAAAAGGATTCTAATGTTTATTATGTTATTAGTTTATTGGAAACAGAAATACTCTGATGCAGTAGCAGGTACTGATTCTGGTTATCTCAAGTACGTGGAAAATTGTAACGACCCACGCAAGGTAGAGGTCTAAAGATGTTTGCTGAACATAACCTATAGATCTCTGAAAAGAGGCAACTAATTCATTACCGTTTACCATACAATTTTCTGAACGAATGATACCTGAAGTTAATCCTACAATACATCTAATAAGGTGGTTTTACCAGCTCCCGGCGCACCCATCAAAACAGTAACTTGAAATGGCCTAACCCATCCTGTCATTTAAGATATATCTATTAAGTCAGATAATTTGAATGTTCTAGGTTTCAAAAGTGTCAATTGTCCTTCCATTGCTTCTTTCATCAGTCTCGCGGAAATCTCCCTGTAAAGAATATATTTGACTGAGACAAGCAAATTGCAATTCCCATTCCACCGAAGAAAAATCCAATCACAACTAACGGAAAATGTGACCCACTAGANACTAAAGCATACATTATACACGAGAATATGCAGCCCGTTACCAATGAATATCTCTTCCCCAACCACGGTTGGATTTTATGCGATAACATGGCTATTAATATGAATCCTGCAGCATTAGCCATCCATATCAATGATACAACTGCGTATATAATTCCGTAGTATTCTTTGATAAATGGTAAAATACCACAAGGTGTAGCATCTGACCAGTCTCCGATTGCTACCCAACAACATGTAATGATATGCAAATTTCTGATTCCTAGATGCAATTATTTCCAATATTAACTTGTTGTGGTAATGATTCAGGCGTGTGATCTCCATTATGTGTCAATTGTGTTAACAAATTATTGGCAGACCCTCTGGGAGTACTTGAGGGATGGAATTGATTGGATTCACCATTTACAAGCTCGATGGAGTTTCCGATCTATTCCCATTATAACAGAACAGTAAAATCGGAATCATTTCTTTTGAGCACTGCAATTCGTGCTTGATCCAAATGTATAGGAATTATACACTTACTTTATACACTTCCTTCCTTTCGAATGAGCAAAAATACCGTACAAGAATAATGAAATTCATAGGGACCTTATAGTGATCTTGAATAACACTCGGAATTATCTCCGAAATATAGATTTCGCATCTACCAAAACGTCCTCTAACGTATACTCTGATTCATATGTTTAACCTTCGATATTTGAACCTTGCTTTTCTTTACATACATGAAAACGATACTCTGTCATATCTACAATGTGTTTACGTTTAAAATCTTCGGAGATTGTTGACTAATGTTTGGAAACATTTTGAACAAGAAAAAAGAATATTTTACATTTTTATCGATCCCAGTTAAATATATTACTAATATACAACTTCTCTAAGAAGACAAGATAATTTAAGAATGTGGGTCATCAGCATGGCCAATATATCTTCATGCGTTACCATTCTTTAGACAGAGTTAACAAACCGAGCTTACGATTGACCTGCTGCTTGCACAAGATCCAAGAATTTTTCCTTCGATATTTCATTCATTAACTCTTCCTTCTTTGTTTGACCAACTTTTTCTTGACCTAGTTCCTGATTAGTTTTGATTTGAGTCGATAAAACTGCGTTAAATAACCTCACCACACCCTTTTGGGCGACCTTTTTCAATTGTCTTTCATTGTGAATGATTGTTCTGACTTTTTCGGGCTCACTGGCAGAAGGCAACAAGTTCTTAACACGATGTTTATCATGTACTTGTTTCTTTTCTGATAAAATCAACCTTTTGGCCTTGGCCTCTAATTTGTCCGATTCCAATTTCTTCAAAGTGGTCTTATTCTTAGTTAATATAGGATCCTTTCTATTATATGCTTTCAAACGCGATCCAACAATAGCATTGAATGCATTTGCGAATGATTCTGATCCATCGTCCAAGTTCTTCTTCTTCTTCATCTTAGGAATCTCGTCATCCTCCCCATCATAGTCCGACGAATCTTCATCCTCTTCTGCATCTCCTTCTGCATCTCCTTCTGCGTCTTCGTCTGAAGAAACCCCCTCGACATCAACTTCGTCATCTACTTCAATATCCACTTCGTCATCACCTTCAATATCTTCTAAATTTTCGTTGTCTTCATTCGATGATTCGGCACTTTCATTCTCTTCATCCGACGAGATTACTTCATTTTTCTCCTCTATTTTCTTAGTTACTTTAGCACCACCATTTTTGCTGACTCTTTGTTTCTTAGCTGCTGCTCCCATTATGTTAATATGCTATCTATTTAGTTATCTTGTATGTCTAGTAGACCTCATCTCATAGATTAAAAAATCTACTTATAATTTAGTTGCACAAAAACGACAGAATATTTTGGCTTATATGCATACCTAAATATGTCCCATTTGTTTACAATTCGATAACTGGTTTTAGATAAGTTTCGTTAGTGTTTGATTAAGATTAATATAAGATATATAACATGGATGGTGATGAGTCGATTGAAATCCATACTCTTGTGGAAACACTGCCTCTGGTGTTAAATTCCAAGTCAGTTAAGCATCATAAATCTGGGCATTACTTTGAATCACCAGGACGGAAACGACAAAGGCTTGATCCAGCCATAGAGAGCCATAAAAGTAATAAATTAGGAAGGTTTATGTATTCCAATCATAGTGATAATATGCTTGGACGTTTGTCGCAAGTCGAGGGTAATCAGCTGCTCCGATTACTCAAATTAAGCAAATCAATCGAACAGAAGAATGACGAAGTAGCACAACTAAATACAAAGATAATGACGTTGAAAACGCAGAAGGCTAATCAGGAGTTCGAGAATTTCAAGTTGGATGACGAGTATATGAAATGGAAGGAACTGGCGTCAGATATTAGTGATGATATCGACGAGTTAAAGCACCACGAACAGGAGTCGTTAAAAACGTTGCAAGACAAGTACGAATTGATGTCAAAACAACTCAATATTGCTCATGAGGAGAAGCTCCAGGTGTTGAAGGAACAAATAAGTATCCTGATAGAGAAGGTGATTAATGAGAATGTGTATAAATATCAAGCAGAGAGGCACCAGTTGTCGGAAAAATGTGAAGATCTTGAGAAACTGATAAAAGGACAGGAGCAGGATTTGAATCGGAAACTTATCAAACTTAAAGAAGAACATAATAAGAAATTGATCCAATTGAGTTCGAATATGGACGAGACAATTGCGAGTCTCCAATGTGATATTGACACTTTGAATAATGAGGCTGTTTCTAAATCAGAGGAATATGAAAATCTCACCAATGATATATCAAAGGGATTGTATGAAGTTAATTCAGACTTAAATTCTAAATTGTATGAATTAAAATTAAAATTCCATGATAAAGAAATGGAAATATCTAATTTGAAGAATAAAATATCTAGTATGAAGACGACAAGCGACCATATCGAAAGGTCTTTTGAAGAAAAATCTATGAGTATCAATGACTTTAATAAGAAAGCCGAAATGATCAACGTTCAATTAGCTAGTCAAGAAAGTGTAAGACGTGTGCTACATGATAAACTTCAACAGCTCAAAGGAAATATCCGTGTGTTCTGTCGTATACGACCACCACAGACGTCTGATAATAAAGGACCAGATAAGGAGAACCTTATCTCAATGGATTTCAGTGATGATGACTTCAATGATGATGCGAGCCAAGAATTGGTAATTTCGAAGGACCCATTTGATGAGAACGCAGGCAATGGACAATCGTCATATTCGTTACATCAAAGTAAAAAAAATAACATGTCCTATAAATTTCATTTCGACAAGATATTTCTGCCTGATCTGCTCAACGAAGATATTTTTGGAGAACTTTCTCAACTAATTCAATCATCTTTGGATGGGAAAAATGTATGCGTTTTTGCCTATGGTCAAACTGGTTCAGGTAAGACGTGGACAATGTCACATCCAGATACAGGTATGATCCCACTTTCCATCCAGATGATCTTTGATAATATCGAGGAATTATCGTTGAAAGGTTGGTCATATTCTGTTGAAGGGCAATTTCTCGAAATTTACAATGAAACAATAGTTGATTTATTATCTCCCGTCGGTAATTCAAAAAAACATGAGATAAAGCACGATGATATAAATGATAAAACATCTGTGACGAACGTAGCGACTATCAATGTGACCTGTAAGAATCAAGCAAAATCAATTTTAGAAAAGGCATCAAAAAACAGATCGACAGCATCTACTAGGTCAAATGAAAGATCATCTAGGTCTCATTCAATATTTATTTTGAAGCTACTTGGTAAAAATATTGAAACCGGTGAAACCAGTGAGGGTACATTGAATCTTATTGATTTGGCTGGTTCTGAAAGATTGAATAGTTCACAAGCGAAAGGAGAGAGGTTAAAAGAGACGCAGGCAATTAATAAATCATTGTCTTGTCTAGGAGACGTAATATATTCATTAGGTCAACAACAGCAAAGTGGTCAGAGTCAACAGCACATACCTTATAGAAACTCAAAGCTTACATATCTCTTAAAACATAGTCTTGGAGGAAATTCGAAAACATTGATGTTTGTTAATATTTCACCATTATCCAAGAATTTTAATGAAACTGTTAATTCGCTCAGATTTGCTACTAAAGTCAATTGCACAAAGATTGGTTCTAGTAAGCCTAATTCGAGATGATTTATAATCTATATTATTGTATTAATAAACGGATATATTACATATGTACAGGTTTAATCGCTAGCATTACTGCCAACAATTAAATTATTTTCGGGCATATACTGTTCAGCGCCTTTCAAATAGCCTGAGTTGACTACCTCATCCCATTTGTCCTTGTAGTTTTCGCTTGCCCATTCGGCAATTTGTTTTTGATCAGAGGCCTCCAAGCAATAGTTGTGCATCGAAAGTAAAGTATCTCCGGACACTTCCAAATCGTAGTCTTTCATATCTTCTGTGAGCTGAATTGCATCTTCAATAAGTCCGTGATATACATGCGCAATTAAGTATTGTCTATAAATAGGATAGCTTGGGATTATTCCATATTGCGATAGATTATTCCAGAATTTTTGTACATATATCATATCGCTGTAAGTATACGTTTTGATCATTATTTGGACTGTTTCTTCATTAATTCCTCCTATCAACTTTGGGACGGTTGACATTGATATGAATAAATCTTTGGCTTTACCTACTTCTTGTAAATTAGAATATGCATTCAAAATTGCATTCTGCAAAGAAATATCTTGTTTAGGAATACTGATATCCATCTTTAAATATTCATGTACTTCCTCAACCCCTTCTTCGTACAATTTATCACCAAACACTTGAAACAAATACATATACATATCTCTCAGAGGTGGTAAGTGGTTATGGTTTCCATGCAATTCGCTCAACTTTTTAATTTGTCTAAATATGATTAATGCTGCATTTAATCTGTCTTTTTCACTGAAAAACTTCATTGCTGGTAAATATGTATCATAAGGAACATGGAAATATTTATGTAATTCCCCATATAAAACCCAATTTGTCTCATATGTCTCTTCATTATTGTATGTTATTACAAATTCATGCAAAATTTTAAAGAGTTCCCCATATTTCATACCATATTCCCCTTCGATTGGTAATTTTATGGTATCATCTTTATCTATTTTTGGTAATTCTCTCTTGAGCATTTCAATTAAATCACCGACATATTCAGCTTGTAGCATTTTTATAGCCATTGATTTAATTGCTCCAACGCTACATCGCGTGTTGACCATTTGTTGTTTGATTTTTGTAAAAATTGGAAAAATCAGCTGAATATCATTGATATTATGGCATATAAGAATAATTAAATCATTCAAGGAACGATGGACTGTTGGATCACTATGGCATGGCCATTGTGTAAAGCTTTCCAAACTATCTTCAAAAATATTGATTGCTTGTATATGATCTGATAAATCGATTGCTTTATCAAGGCGATACTTGTACGAGTATACAGAAGGCTCAACATTCTGCGATTTTTGAAAATATGTCGTTATAGAGTCAATGAAATCTCCCCTAGGAGAAATTCTTCCTATTGGAAGGAGTGATTGAATAATCCTGTTATATAACTCTGACAAGTCGATCTCCTCTTCACTTTCAACTTCAACTTCTTCTAATTTCTTAATCAACTCGTCTACTCTATCAATGACTGTATTGGCTAATTCAAATTCCGATAACCCTTGCGATGCGTTTCCAACAAAATTTTGTATGTCTGCTTCAAATCTTAAAATTTCCGAAAACTTTACATCATCAGCTAAAATATAATTAGTCAACATTTGTGCAATAATCTTATACTTAGGGTTCGACCATGTTATTAATAGGAGGTTCTCAGCTAGAGCTTCATCTCCAAAATCTTGTTTAAATATTTCTTCTTTAACCAATTGCAATGTTGAATCTAGTTGCTCTTTTGGCTGATCAACAATGAAATCTAAGACCGTTGTAATAGATTGTTGCGTCTCAACCCTTCTATTTACAGACTCTAGCTCCGTGGATAACTTCAATAACTTAAGCCATACTCCCACGGATAACTTATCAAGTACTGCACACTTTATAACCTTTGTGTTGGTAATAATTTGGATTCTGTCAATATCCTTCTCCAAGTTTTTGTATTCGTGAACCCTAGGTGGTACGTCGGCATACAACAGCTCAACATACTCTATATATTTATTATAGAAATAATCATCGATAATCTCCGCCTTTGGATACCGTTTGCTCACAAACAAAATATCATCGAACACACTCAGTGTTAACAACCCCTTAGTATCATAATATTTCAATAAATGCATTGTAAATTCAGGAGTTAAGCTCGATTTCCTACTCTTTACGAGTAACTCTAATGTATTTCTTAAGTTACTATACCTGACTGATGATCCCAAGTCAACGACATGGACTAAGAGCTTCATTGGCACTGAATTTGATTCCTGACCCAAAAAATATTGTGCCAATATTGCCATATACTCTGGTAAAAGCAAATTTTTATCTCTCTCGCTTGACACCGCTATAGAAGACTTTTCAAATAACGTAATTAAATCCTCGAGGCTTAAAACCCCCTTTACCAACCTTGTTTTCGAGTCTTCAAATTGTCTTCCATTAAGATTATACAAGTTTAAAAAAACACTGTTCAAAATGGGGAGTGTCACAGGGTTTTCGGCAAAGCTCGGTACCCTGTTTACAAATTCTGATAACTTATCACTTAATATACGTCTTCGTAAGTTTACTGGTATTTCGGTAGTTTTTAAATAATGCTTGAACGTTCGGAAATAATTTCCTTCTACTGTAGTCTCAATATTTTCATTTGGTTCCTCTATAATTAGATCCAGCTTTTTTTTATTCAAGACATTCTTCAGACTGTTGAACTTACTTAACGGGTTAAACCAAGATACCTTTGAATATGCTCGATGATGGGTAATAGGCTTCGTAATGCTGGGGCAATCATCTATAACAGATATAAACCTCGGTGTGCAAATACAAGCCGAGAATCTCGATAAATGTATTGCATTCCTTAGCTTGGATGGCAATGCTTGTGCCCTAATATGCATATCTTGAGCTCAGAACTTGTGATATAGGGTTGTAGTGGTCTACTTAATTCTAAAAAATTTAATATTTATAAGAGCATCATTATAGATTCACGCGCGAAAACACTACATAATCGTTATTTACAGGAACTACTTATCTTTTGTAGCTAAGGTTCATCTTCGCTGTATTCGGGTAGATGCTTCTGTAATCTCTTGATAGCCCAGTTCTTACCAATAAACCGAACATCTGGATCACTTTTCCCTTCAGTCCTCGTATATTCTTCCCAAAATACTGGATTTTTGAAGCGAGGATCTTCAGGTTTAAATACACCCAATGAATTTCTGATGGCCAAAACCGCTTCCCTTAGTTCAGCAGCAAGGTCTGATCTCAAACGTTTTGCCATATTACCGGTTTTAAGTTCTTCTGATAAATCTGTAGGATTCTTTGGGTCAATATATTTATTGCATAAGTCTCTCCATTTCTTTCTGTATGATTCTAATGTTTCATCAGGAATGGGGTCACCTATGTTAATATGTATTTCTGCACCTATGTTTGACGGCAACCATCTGTTAATACCCTTATCGGCAGAGTCTTCAGGTGCCACTTTCTCAAAGCCGTATGTGAATATTGGTACGACAACAGGAGTACGAGTACTCTCAAGGATCAACCGGGAGATGCCCCATTTGAAATAACGCATCGAATTTTGATGTGGTTCTTGTAGCTGCAACACAAAGCCTTCCGGGAATACATGGAACCATGAAGTTTTGGTACGAATGAAGGGCGATTTGGACATGAGAAGATTCGTAGAATCTGCGGTTGGTCTTACTTTTTCAGCTAACATTGTGGTATTTCCTCCTACGTGTCCAATACCATTGATTTCCTGTAACAAAGTTGGTTTCGCCACTTCCTTGACCCCGGGGGTAAATTCTAAGTCTAAGGTGTCATCAGGACTCAAAATTCTAATAGCTGCGTCCAATGAGCCTTGGAAAGGACCATCCCCAAATCTTTTAGTCCCCAATATCTTACCCAAGTTGAAAAACCACGACAATGCCTTGTTCGAAAAACATACATTGTGTGCACCAAATCCCCATCTTATGGTTTCAATATCTGTATGGAACCTGAATGGCAATGCAGCATAGAATGTTGGATCATCAACAACCGACATATGGTTCATCATTGTCAATAGTGACCTATTTTCAGACCTCGCTTTTTCCAACGCCCTATCTAGTTTTTCTATATTGTGTAAATGGGGGTTATATAGCACATTCAAAAAAAATTTTGACTGTAAAATCATAAATAAGCAGGTAGCGTGAGAGGCATAGTTCCATAATATCGAGGTTCTGGGATATTCGTTGAGAAAATCATCTCCTCTCTTCAATACATCCTGGAAAGACATGCTCTATTGTATAATATTAGATTCAAGTGCTATGTATAGCTTTGGAAGATTTAATACCCAACCCCAAGATTTTTTGTGCCAAAATTTTTTTTCGAGTTTTTGATGCTAACAGAACCAGTAGATCCTCCTATGATTGGGGGCACGTTTTCAAGAGTATCTTTATAGGTTTACACTCAGGTGAAGAACAATAGAGTATTTACACTGTATATATATGAGATACTTAGGACGTATTTAAGAATATATCTAGGTATTCAAGGTTCAAATACCTGATCATAGGATAATCTAGGATCGAAGTGCTTAGTACGAAAATCAGAATCGATGCACATATTATTTAAATCAACCAAGAAACGTTCTGTCATATAGGTCTTGAATGCTTCTGTTTCTTTTTCAGAGCAGTTGTAATATTTAGGACAATATGATTTGTAGTTTTCTGGGTCGTATCTGTAACTGGAATAATCCTCGAGAGATTTCAGCCGAAAGTCATGGAAATCAGATTCATGGATGTTGATCCTGCTGGTGTTGCAAATGCCGATACATTTCTTTAGCTCTGATGTATTTAAATTCCCAAGTTCGCCGGCTCTGTAGGAATCAAACTCAATTCTTTCGTTTTGTAATTGTTCCTTCAATTGCATTTTATAGAGTACTGGTTTAAGGTCGTTTTCGAAAAACGAAAGCTTTGGTTCTGCACTGAGGTTTTTCACTGTTTCGTCATATAGAAAGCTGTTGCCCTGAATGCATCTTTTAAAAGAGCTTCCTGATAAGTCGGACCAGACTTCTTGCTCAGATGCTAGGGGATAATACCTATACTGATTTTGAAGTCCTTGGATAGAAAAGAAGATGGGGGCTTCGGTTTCATATTGGTCTTTATGTACGATTTTGAACGGCATGTTGTTTTGTAGTTAATCATTTTATTATCGAACTTTGGATATTTTGCAATCATTTGAGAAAAACCACAAATAGTACTTTCCTAAGAATTTTTGCAATCATTTGTTCAGCCTTAAGAAAAAAGGATCATGTATCCCATAATACTTTCAAACCGTATTATTAGCCATAAGAATGACAAACTTAGAAACACAACCATATGACCCGTTTATGGCTAAGGCAACAAAGTCAGAAGCTAGGCTCACCAAGCTCTTGGAGACCTTCCAAAATTACACAGCCAACAGTGACATACTTAGCTCTGATACAACTATAGTATACTTAGTCTTGAAGTCAAATTTCATTTTGAATAATACCCAGATTCGAGTGCTTTTGGGGTTAGGTGATAAAAATAAAGTGAATGACGTTATCTACCATGGTATTCAAAGAGATGTTAAATATGCCGCTAGCAAGCTCTTCTCAATAGGCAAATTCTCGTACTTACTTGAAATGCCGTTGACGGACCTAAAACAGCTCTGCTATGAAATTGCATTGAAATACAAGACAATATTCTTCGTCCCTGTGGAATCAAAAATTAAGGTCCGTCCTGCCCAGAATGATTTCACGTCTATTTTAGACACAACCCAATTTGATCTGCAAAGGATTGCTTCCGGTTTCATTCCCAGCAGCCATCTAACGTCCAATCTCAGAAATCAGTACAACAGAGCAGCCGATACATCGGCACAGTCTTCGTCTATGGCCACCACCACCACCTACCACAATATCACTCTGCTAAGTCCGCAAGGATATTGCCAAGCAGATGAAGCTGAATACGTAGAAATAATTAAGTTCATAAGCAAATTCAATCAAATGTGGATTATTGCAGCATTTTTAAATAGAGAATATCAAGAGCTACAGATCAATTGAAAAGTAGCACAACCAAAAAAAAAGTAAAGTTATAACACTTTTCATTGTAACAATGGCTACTGCCAATATTCGGCCTACAAACACTAGCATCTATCCTACTTCTATGATATGTTTTGGACTCTTCCTGATTTATTTATTTGTGAGCGTGCACATAAATATTATAAAAAAAATTTCCAGTTAGTGCTCATCTCATCTAAGAAATAATCTTTATCAACAGATTTTAGTATTGATTTAACACTAAATACTATAACCATGAGAATTAAGAAGAAGGGTACATCCGGTAACGCAAAGAACTTCATCACAAGAACACAAGCTGTTAAAAAGTTGCAAGTTTCTTTAGCAGATTTCCGTCGTCTTTGTATTTTCAAAGGTATCTATCCAAGAGAGCCAAGAAATAAGAAGAAGGCGAATAAAGGATCTACTGCACCAGTTACGTTCTATTATACTAAAGATATCCAATATTTGTTGCACGAACCAGTGTTAGGAAAGTTCAGAGAACATAAGACTTTTGCAAAAAAATTGCAAAGAGCTTTAGGTAGAGGTGAAGTGAGCGATGCTCAAAAGTTAGAAGGTAACCGTCCCAAGTATACTTTAGAACATATTATTAAAGAAAGATATCCAACTTTCTTAGATGCTTTGAGAGACATTGATGATCCATTAAACATGTTGTTTTTGTTTGCAAATATGCCTGCAACCGATAAGGTAAGTCATAGGATTACCAAGGAAGCCGAAAAGTTAACTAATCAATGGTTAGCGTACGTAGCTAAGGAAAGATTGATCAAGAAGGTATTTGTTTCGATCAAGGGTGTCTATTATCAAGCCAATGTTAAGGGACAAGAAGTTAGATGGTTAGTTCCATTCAAGTTCCCAACCAACATTCCAACTGATGTTGATTTCAGAATCATGTTGACATTTTTAGAATTCTATTCGACCTTATTGCACTTTGTCTTATTCAGGTTATATAATGATGCTAACTTGATTTATCCACCTACCATTGATACCGAGAAATTGAAGGGTATTGGTGGGTTATCTTCATACGTTTTACAATCAAAGGATCAAGGTGTGAAGGCATTATTACCAAATGCTAAGAAAGCTGCTGAGTCTAAAGACGAAAGTAAAAAAGTGAAAGAAACAAAATTATCTAAAGAAGAAATTTCCAAAGCAGTCGCTGCTGATAAATCGTTGAATGAGAATGCCGAAGACAATGTAAGCGAAAATGTCGAAGATGTTGAATTGGATGAGTTCTCCTCTACTAATAAGACCACCGGTGATTTATTATCCCAGCCATCTAAATTTGCATCCCCTACCTCAACTTTGTTATCCAAGTTTATCTTTTACGTTGGTCGTGAAGTTCCATTAGATATTTTGGAATTCTGTATCTTATCTTGTGGTGGATCCATTATTTCTGAAATTGCATTAGATGAATTACAACTTAATCAACCTGAAGAATATAAAAAATTAGATTTATCTAATATTACGCATCAAATTGTTGATAGACCTAAGGTTGCATCAAAGGTTGCAGGAAGAACCTATGTTCAACCTCAATGGGTTTTTGACTGTCTTAATAAGAGTGAATTATTACCAGTAAGTCAATATGCTCCTGGTGAAACTTTACCACCCCATTTATCACCATGGGGAGATGCAGGTGGTTATAACCCAGATGCGGAAGTTAAGCCTACCGAAGAAGGCGAAGAAGAGGAGGAAGAAGAAGAAGAAGAAATTGAAGGTGATGAAGTCGAAGAAGACGTTGATGAAGAAGAAGAGGAAGAAGAAGATGAAGACCTTCAAGCCCAAAAAGAATTGGAATTAGAAGCTGCCGGTGTAAAATCAGCAGATGCACAGAAGGGTAAGAAGGATAAGAAGCCATCTAAAGGTAAAAAGAGATCAGCTGAGGATGAAGAAAAGGACTTAAAGAAGATTATGATGTCTAACAAACAACGTAAGTTGTATAAGAAGATGCAATACGGTATTGATAAGAAGGAAGCTAGACAAGATGATTTAACTAAAAAGAGAAGAAAGCTTGAGAAGACAAAAGCCGAATTAGGTAAGTTAAGTAAGAAGAACTAATTAACTTTATTTCATGTTTATATACTATTTAATAAAATTTCGTAAATTGTATGGAAGTATAGTAGTGATTGGATTTTTGTATTATTTTCGAACTGTGGAGCGCTTGGAAAAAAAAATGGATAGTTACTATAGGATTCTTTTATAGCAACTTCTAATACTCATTAATTGGATATAACGATATGCTGCGTATGCTAAATCAAATACCTCGATTGATAACAAGATCGTTTCGGACGTCATCTGTTGGTTATAAGGCAACACTAGGTTCAATACTTGAGAACAAATCACAAATTCAAGATTTGGTTAACAAATCAGAATGGAATATTGTAGATATTATAAAATTTTCAGAAGATGAAGTACGGAATATAAGGATAGATTCAAGAGTTATAACTAAGATGTTGAGAGCTTCGGGCTTAAAAGACAGTTTATCTGAAGATGAAAAACAAAGTTTGATAAGAGGTTTAAAATTGCAAATGATATTTATCAAGTATTTGTATGAAGGTGACGAGGAAGAATTCCATAAGATAGAAGAAAGTAACGATGATGTATTTAGACTAATTTTGTCTGATCATAAGACGCCCAAGCCCATAACGTTAGAAAGTTTGTTGTCCAGCATAGAGAATTTAGAGAACGAAGTTGATGCAGAGAAGGGTGAGATTGAGTCGAGTTTAGACATAAGCAAATTGAATGGAAATAATCCTACATATTTCACAGTTCGATCTAATAAAGAATAATTTACATGGTGAATATATAACTATTTATAGGTAACTCTAGAATCCATAAACATTCTATCAGGGATTTCTAGTTTTATCAAATTTTTCAAAAACTCCTGTAATTTTAATAAATCCTTAGTCCCTTGATTAATTAGTTCTACATCTGTCGATTTTGGAACATTTATGTATGTCCTTATTTGGAAAGTATTGGATGGATCTAATAGCTTGAGTCTAATTTTGTCCTTTTCTTCGTCCTTTTCGTCATCTCTAACAAATACCTTGAAAATCTCAATGACTATATCGCCATGGAAGAAACGTACACCTTTCATCCAAAACTGATTTATAACATCGTAGCCTAAATCTTCTAAGAATTGTAAGAACGAATCCCTTCGATTTAACACTTCCAATTCCTTTACGGTCTGATTGGCATTGCCTTCACTGTGTTCTTTGGCTTCTTCGCCGCTTTTCTTGGATTCTTCACCACTTTCTTTGGCTTCCTCGCCGCTTTCTTTTGCTTTCTCACCACTTTCTTCCTTCTTGATATTCTCCTTATTGTCTTCATCTTTATCATCGATGTCCATGTTTGACTCATTAGATACCTCTAATCGAACTTTTTCTTTATCCATTACTTTTGTATGGTGGTGTACCAATGTGCTTTCATATATCGTCTGTGCAGAGCATGCCTGATTCTTACCAGCAATGGGAATATCAGATATCTGCATGGTCCAATTCCTACGATCATCTACTCCCAAAAATAATCTATTCACTAAAATATCAGTGTCGTTTTCAATAACAGGAGATGAAAGATCAAATTCATTTCCAGTTTCATCATTCCATGTCGTTACACATCTCATATAGAATTGCTCGATCTGATTCACTTTTCCTGGTTCAAATTTCGGTTTGAAAACATCATGAGGTTTGGTGACCAATGTATACGTTGAAATCGGCTGTGGAGTCAACAATCCAGTCAATGCCTGTAATGTAGAGATAGTCTGAACATAATTACTATGTGAAACCGTAGATACAAGCGATAACTGATGTACCATGTCAAAAGTCGCTGGAAATTGGCCGTAAGAACCACCTATATACTTACATCCTTAGGTTCTGAAATCCATATCAGACCTACTGGTTGTTACACAAAATCACACTAAAATGTATCTATTACTAAATTACCCTATTAAATTATACATTCAAGAAGTTAGGTTCACTATAACTCATCTATCTCGACTTCTTGGTCTCCTCTGGCTCTTGTTCTGTGGTATCTTCCATAAATGCTGCCACCACGTATCCAATTAACACAATATTAGCCACGAGCGCAGAAACTCCTCCACTTATAATAGCATTATTGCTGAACAAATACTGGCATACAAAGAATGTAGCCACAGGGCATATTATCATAGCGGCGGTGAAAAACACCAATTTTTGGACAACAGACCTACGAATATGTTAGTATGCTACTTATGAGGCAAAACCAGCCCATATTGGAATAACCAATGGCGATTTTTAGTTTTATTAATGCAATTCGATGTTCTTCGATCACATATACTTAATTCACATACTTTGGAATATCAGCTGGCATCTTGATGAATAATATATAGTGTAGTAATAATAATAATTGTAGACATTAGTAGCCAATTTTCACTATATAAATATCTGACACAAAAACCCAAATTAATATCAACGGTATCTCAACATTGTTGGCTTTGCTAAGGAGCTTTGAACATATCTATCTTGAACAGAACCAATTTGAGACATATATTACGAGATGAAAGTGGCCAATTTGTGTTTAATTGCATCGCATGTATTGTTGACTCCAGTGTTGGGATTCACTGATACTTCACCATTTTATTCATCAAAACAATTGGAAGGGAAATTTCCATATATAACAGAATCTGGTCAATTATTGGAAACAATAGGATCATTGACGGATGATGTCTGCAAGAATGATAATAAATTGGTTATTTACAGAGTCAGTAACCTAGTTCATGGTGCTAAGCCATCAGAGGGAACTTATATTAAGCATGTTCATTACGGTTCTGTTGATGAGCTTGACTTTCCACATGGATCGTCTTGTGACGGAGAAAGAGTTGAATATATGATCAACAAGCAACCCAACGACACAAAAAACATTGCAATTGCCGTTGTGGATATTGAAGATGACAAAGAGCATACTATTGATGAGTTTTTGGCTCCAGCAGGAGGGATGGTTATCGTCCAAGGCAAGCCATCATTTCATAAGCCAGAATCCAAGATGGATGGCTTGAAACATTACATCGAAGACAAAGTATACGATAACTTAAAAATGGAACTTGATTTCGACAATGTCTTACATAAAAGGACTAAAGGCTCGGGAGAAGCCAAGGATGATGACGATAAGTTCAGTCAGATAATGGCCGAAGTAGAAGATGACTTCAAAGCAGCTGAATCGTTCATTTCAAAAGAAGGTGGAGATATGATGATGACTATTTTGGACTCATCCAAGACAGCTATGGCCCAATCCGATGCTAAACCACCTAAGGTAAAAAACCCAAACCTTTTCACAAACTACAGTTTCTTCTCGCCGGGAATTTGGATGTGTTTGGTTATTTCGGGATTCCTTGTATCGGTATTATACATTACAATGTCATGGATGACCTCGCTAGAAATATCCTACAAGGCTTTTGATAAACAAATTGACTTCGAGAAGAAAACGGAATGAATATATTTATTGTCATCCACCACTGTTTTCAATTCCATCCATCCGTTTGTAAGATTTTTATATACTTCTAATAAATAAAGGAACAATTTTTGCAATTCTTTTAGACCCGTTATCTTTTTAGTACCTTCTCTCTTTGTTCATATACAGAAGCCGAGTTCATAATACTCGTTAGAGAAGAATAGCTGGCTTATGCAAAGGGCACAAGAACAGCCGCATTATTGAACAATATTACAATTGGAAATCAGGAGACTCTTAGTCGAATGACTATAATCGTACAACGGAAGCTATTCATGTTCTGTTTCCGATCCCAGAGATCGGAAACAGAATTCCCCTCGAGCCTTTTTACTCTAGACTTATGTACCGAACATACATTGGCCATATAGTCCGGTGGATAATTAATTCCCGTTCTATGCACTGCAATTATACCAAGTTCTCATGCATTGACGCGATATCGTTCGGGCGAGCAATCCTTAAACTACGGCAGAACTCCCCTTGGCTTTTTCCCTATTGTTTCGGTATTTATAGCATACACAATTAGAGAACTAGACTCGTTAATACGTCGTTTCGCCAAATATATCTAATGCACAGCAACACGTCCTACAGTACATGGCAATACTACAATACCTAAAATCATTGCAATGGCTATAAGTGGGAAGTTAAGCGTGGATGTAATTTCGTAGCTATGCGAATCGCACCCATTATCCTACACTAACGCCGTTCGTTTGTCAGCCACAAACGCCTTTATATTTAATTCTGGCCTAACCTCTAGCCTAACTTCTAGTTTAACCTCTAGCATAACCTCTAGCTGTTCATAATCATATGCTATTGCTGTTCATATTTTTCTTCACATTGACAGCAATTCAACTCTAATCCCAGTGGGGTACGTTGCAGCCTTCTATTATGCGTCCTTTACACCAACGGATCCAGTTATGTCACCGATCTCACAGAACTTAGGTGAGGCATTACGAAACCTTATAGCTAATGCACAAGTAAACGTGCTATTCTGTAAAATATTGATTGGATTATAACCATTCAGTACAAATATTAATTTGTCCGTTTTCGGAAATCTAATTACACGCGTTTTGGCTCATGCCCGTTAAGTTACTTTTATCTCCCGTGTCCGACTAAAATAGGAGCTTCTATAACCTACCCACTATCTTCCCACTATTGTATACATATGTGCATACATATGTACATCCGTGGGGAGTATATGTCTGTAGTATATATGTAATTTAATCGACAACTTTGCCTAGATTAGGAATTGTGCACCCTGAAAATTTTTCAAATCGCGATTACGTCCTTTACCGTTTTAGAATAGAGCTATAGATACAAGGAGCTAAATTTTATTTCATACATAATAGATAGCAAATCCTTCTTCAGCATATCGTACATCAGTACCGTTAATATCAAGCATTACTTTATAAGAAAATCTATTTACATATAGTAGAATCACTACAGTTGAGTCAATTTGTACGGTATAAGATATAAAACATCACCTTGAAGGAAGGGAGCAATTTTAAGAAATTTGATATATGGCCCATCTAACAGCTATCGACCCCCTATTTAACAATAGTAATAACGTGGTGATTTCACTGGCATTACCTATGTCATTTCCATCGTCGTCATCACCGATGTCGTCGATTAATGCCACGCCTTCGGCGAAGAAGAAGAGAGGCAGACCTCCAAAGGCAGATTCCTTAAGTAACAAGATTACGACCACCCTCAACATCAACGTAAACACGTCTCCGATGTGCAATAGTCCGACAGCTGAGAACAATTCGAATTTGACTGTCAAAAGAGGTGCACCAGATGTGTTCACTCCGTTGATGAGGGTTTCCCCTAATTCAAAGAGAAAAAGGAGCAAAAGCTCCATGAGTATAGAATCGTCTGGAGGACAAAAGAAACCGAAGCATGATTTGATGGTAACTCCTTTGTCTGGTGCTATCAATGGGTCGACGTTTACGCCGTACCACCTGATCAATTCTCAAACGTTAGACAACATTTCGATGATTACCCAGTCGAATCCCCGAGATAACATTCATTCCGATGAGTACGGTTCTCCACTGATGAGATCCCCGAGTATGCTGTATCACCAACCAGACATGTTGTCTACTCCTAGTATCCATAACCACAAGAATGTTTTTCCCACTCCAACCAGTGGCGGTGCTAAAGCGATAGTCAATCCGTCATATATGTTTTTTGGAAACGAAAACTACGTACCAGAAACAATTGAAAAGCCAAGTAAGGAAGCTAAGAACTTGTTGCCACCTGTCGCTATCACCAAGGAAATCGTGCCAGTAAGCAAGCCACTAGATCATAAGAATGATTTTCAGCTCAAACTTACTATTGACGACCTGGGCAAGGCGGTGCTATCAAACGACTTATTTCAGTCGAATGATAATAAGCCCAATAAAGCAAAGCAGTCTAAGCCCTCAAATGAACAATTGTTTGAGCAGAAGTTCGTTGAAAGTCATATAAAAGAAATCGATTTCGCAAGGGTAGATTCCACGATTGGCCTCGAAACGAACCATGTTCCTCAAAACTACAAGAGATCCACTATTAGTTCTAATGGCGACGATGGCGATAAGCTGGTGTCACATCCAAGTACTTTGAGAAGACATCATTCGGACATCACTGGTGTTTCATCCAATGCATTCAACTCTGCATCTACATTAATGTCTATTAATGAGTGTACAAATGACTCTGTATCAGAAAAGACTTATTCGCAATTACCGCAAACCCCTAAACAGAAGGACAACTACTATATTTCTACTGGGTTGACACCTTCCAACCTAAATTTTAACTTGACTCCAAACTTCAATTCGATGATGTACTCGATCATGAACATTAATTCGCCACAACAAAAGAAGACTACCAACAATTCGCAGTTCTTATCAAACCAAGAGTTCTTTATGAACGGCGTCTCCGGTGGCCATCAACTGCAATCACCCCAGCAGCCTCAACTTCAAAATACGGTATGCATGACCAGTCTCATGACTAATGGTTCCAAACCTAAGAAATCTCTTGATAGTGCGTTGCCACCTTCATCGCTGACTCCATCGTCAGCGTCATCTGCGTCTGACGATTCTGGCGATGCCAGACTAGCGTTGAAAAAAATAATCCAAATTAAGAAAAAATAAATACATCCTATTGTGCATTGCATACTCAATCTTCTATCAGCAGAATAGAGAATCTGAGTAATGATAGAAATATTTACTGACTCCTTGCTTGGAAATCCGCTGCTGCTTGGAAGCCTTCAATTCTCTTTCACAGCCATTTGAATTTTACTCGATATGTTTTTCTTCAATTTTTTCCGTGATCTTATTCATTTCTCATCGTCACAGATCCTTAATATTTATTACTCCCAGCAGTATATTTATCTACTTTTCTATGTATATTACACCATTTTGACTAGAATATATTACATTACTACTTACACCAGCGTAATTACCAGTATCCTCCGCAGTAATTTCGAGTCCTTCCAGAAGCCCCAAAATTTTTCAATTTTTCGATTTTGACACGACTGAAAGTTTTCCAGAAAAATTTTTCACTCCTCATTGGTACATAAACATTTCAATTGAAAATTTTCAATTCAAGTCTTTCTTTCTTCAGTTGTTAATAACATTCGAGTATAATATAATATGTCTCACAGAAAGTACGAAGCCCCACGTCACGGTTCTTTAGGATTCTTACCAAGAAAGAGATCTGCCAACATCAGAGGTAGAGTTAAGTCCTTCCCAAAGGATGTCAAGTCTAAGCCAGTTGCTTTAACTGCTTTCTTAGGTTACAAGGCTGGTATGACCACTGTTGTCAGAGACTTAGACCGTCCAGGTTCTAAGATGCACAAGCGTGAAATTGTCGAAGCTGCTACTGTTGTTGAC